TCTTAGAGTGTAGGAAACATCCAAGTGAAGATGTTGAGTAGGCAGTTAGATGCTGTATGAGTCAGGGGTTCCGGAGGGAAGTCTGATCTAGCAATATGTAACTCAGGCGTAGTTGTTAGTAGACAGATGTTGCTAAAAAAAGGTAAGTTAGGGTCAACCACGTAAGGGGAGACATGATCACAAGAAGATTAAAATGATGAGCTCAAACCCCTGAAAGACAACTTGCCCTCTCAGGTGTTACTGACCCTTCAGTCATGCTCTTTAGAGCCAAGGCGGGTGCAAGCCAAGTCACTCTGAATGCCCCTTAAATGCTACCCTCCATGCTTCTGCCTCGAATGTCCTTCCTCCCCTTCTTTGTCTACATCCAAGGACACCTAGTGCCCAGTTTAGTCCTGGCAGACAGTAAGCACTAAATAAATGTGGTTGGTGAGGGCTGCTTCTCTACCTACTTTGCCATTGTCATGGTAGTTTTCAGGCTGCGTTCTAACTGTCTGCTTATCTTTCTTTCTCCCTCATTAGTTAGTGACCCTCTAAAGGCTAGGGACCCTGTTGGATTTCTTTCTTTTGTTGTAAACCTCTCATAGCTTCAGAATACAACCTCCTTGCCAATCTCTTTATTGAGTACCTTACCTATTCCCTGCCTTATCTGTGCTAGGCACCAGAGATGCCAACATCATCATCAACAGAAGCAGCAAGATGAATAACATCAGCTGGAGATAAGGAAATAAAATAATGGAAACAAAGCCAAGAAAGTTGCAGAGAGGAATCCCAGCTTATCTGTGATGCCTTGCTGGACAAAGAAAGTTGATGCTGGGGAAGGGATATTCTCTCCTGGCCACACAGGACCATGCCCAGAGCAGGGAGTGGGAAGGAGGAACTGACCAAGAGCTATTGTGTACAGGCAAATGAGATTTAGCCGTACCTTTAAGGAGCTTACAGTTTAAAGAGAGAGGGGCAAGACAGGAAGTACAGACAAACCAGTGAAGTACAGTGTAACAAGTTCTGTAATTGGGGACGCAAGTATCTTCAAATTTGTTCTGTTGTAAAGAGTAGAAGCTGCAGGTAGTCAGAGTTGGGTGCAGTACGAGAAGTCACTCTCAGTCAGAGCAGTCTCATGGAGTGGGGGTGGGAGTCTCAGGAAAGGAAGGTGTTCACTCTCAGTGGAGATGTAAAGGCTGGAATGAATGATCACATGAGCATGTGGTGTAGAGGAGTCTGTAGCGCATGTTTGAGGGCCAAATGGTCTTTAGGGTGCTGCTAACCTCAGCAGTCCATAACCCTGAATCCCTTTCTTTACCTTGGCTTGAGGATGTCATCTATACAATGAAGAGGGTTGAACCAAATAAAGGTCCTTCTAACGCTGCCTTCTATGATATCTGCCAAATTGAAGGAAGATCTTGCAATTGCTCCTAAAGTGGAAGGCATCTGCAATGATATGGCAGGGCTGTGATTACCCTTGGCTGCACAGTCTCCCACATGGAGCTGAATCTGGATCACTTTGCTTCCCAGATTAAATCCCTGACTTTCTCCTTGAGAAGTGGCAGACCTCCAGATTGCTAATTAAGTGACAACAAGTTGGCTACCTCAGTTCTGAAATCAGAAAATAGCTGGGGTCTGGGGAAGAGAGATTGATTTTCTTTGGAACTGGAAAGGATTTAGAGAAAGGCATATTAACAAAGATACATTATTAAAGTTCAGTATTTACAAATCCCAAAGAAGCTTTTAGGGATTTAGGGATTTAATCTTTGACTTTTAAAATCTGCTTTTCATTGTCAGTCAAAATACCAATGAGCATTAAAAAACTACAGGGAGCAGTGAGACAGGCACTTACACAGTGCTAGTGCAACTAAAAATCAATAGTCTTTCTAGAAAGTAGTGTGGCAAAGTGTATGAAGACCCTAAGCATGTCACTTCTTGTCACTTTTGCTACTATAGCCCTGATGGGAGCGCCATCTTCTATTGACAGTAGCTTCTGTGCATCTCTACCCTTCCCCTTTTTTAGTCTGTTTTCAACACAGCAATCGTAATGGACCTTTTCAAATGTAAGTCAGATCATGTTATTCCCCATGATGAAAATCAAAGTTACAGTAACCTATAAGGCCCTATATGAACTGACCAGCCCTTTATATCTCTGACTTCTACTACTGTCCCCTTCACTTAGTCCATTTCAGCCACACTGGCCTCCTTGCTGGTCCTCAGACGTGTCCTATATGCTCAGAACCGAGGGCCTTTGCACTGTTTCCTTTGCATTGCTCTCTTTTCAACCATCTGCTTGGTTAACTCTATTCCCTTCAAGTCTTTGTGAAAATCTTACCCTTTCGTTGTGTCTTGTGCTGCTTACCCTATTTGATATTGCAGTGCCTGCCCCGCTCAAAGCACTGTGGCACTTCTGATGTCTTTTACCCTGCCTTTTTTCTCTTTCCCCTAGCATTTAAGACTGTGTGTGTGTGTTTATATTTACTATTTATTCACTACCTTTCACACCTTCTTAGAATCTAAGCTCACAAGGGCAGGGATGATAGTGTCTGGCACAGAGTTAATACTCCGAATTTGTTGAATGGATGAGATTTTAAAATAGCACTGTATTTTGGCATAGAACAATTTACAGGGAAACAACAGCAGAGTGGATGAAGCTGAGAATCCAGTCAGTGATTTGGAACATAAGGAAGAAAAAAAACCAATCAGAGCAACCAGAAGAAAAAAGAATCCAAAAAGATGAAGATAGTGTAAGCAGCCTCTGAGACAACTTCAAGCGTTCCGACATTCTTATCATAGGGGTGCCAGAAGGAGAAGAGAAAGAGCAAGAAATTGGAAACCTATTTGAAAAAATAATGAAAGAAAACTTCTGTAATTTAGTGAGAGAAATAGATATGCAAGTCCAGGAAGCACATAGAGTCCCACACAAGATGGATGCAAAAAGGCCCACTCTAAGACACATAATAATTAAAATGCCAAACATTTAAGATAAAGAGAGAACCTTAAAAGCAGCAAGAGAAAAGCAGTTAGTTACCAAGAGGGGAGTTCCCATAAGACTGTCAACTGATTTCTCAAAAGAAACTTTTCAGGCTAGAAGAGATTGGCAAGAAATATTCAAAGTCACAAAAAGCAGGGACCTACAGCCAAGATTTCTCTACCCAGCAAAGCTATCACTTAGAATCAAAGGGCAGATAAAGATAAATCACTTTGCAGACAAAAAACTAAAGGAGTTCATCATCACCAAACCATTATTATATGAAATGTTGAAGGGACTTAAGAAAAAGATCAAAACTATGAACAATAAAATTGCAAAAATGCATATCTATCAACGATTGAATCTGAAAAACAAACCAAGCAAACAAGAAGAACAGAGATAGAATCATGGATACGGAGAGCATTTTGATAGTTGCCCGATGAGATGGAGGTGTGAGGGAATGGGTAAAGAGGTGAGGGTATTAAGAAGTGCAAATAGGTAATTACAGAATGGCCACAGGGTTGTAAAGTACAGTATAGGAAATGAAGTAGCCGAAGAACCTACACATGACCCATGGACATGAACAGTGATGTGAGGATTGCCTGAGTGAGTAGGGGTTACTTCGTGGAGCGGGGCAAATGGGGGAAAAACTAGGACAACTATAATAGCATAATCAATAAAATATAATTTTTTTTTAAAACCCCAATGAAACACCACTTTACACTTACTAGGATGTGCATGATCAAAGTAACAGGTGTTGATGAGGATGTGGAGAAATTGGAAACCTCGTGCATTGCTTGTGGGAATACAAAATGGTGCAGCCACTGTGATGGTTCCTCAAAAAAGCTAGACATATAATTATAATATGATAGCAATTCTGCTCCTCGGTATATACCCAAAAGAATTGAAATCAGGATTCAAACAAGAATTTGTATCCCAAAGTTCATAGGGACATTGTCCACAGTAGCCAAAAGGCAGAAAAAACCCACATGCCCATCAATGGATGGATTCAACAAAATACGGCATAAACATAGAATAGAATATTATTCAGGCATGTAAAGGAATGATGTTCTGATGCCTGCTACAATGTTGATGAACCTTGAAAACAGTATGCTAAGTCAAAGAAGCCAGGCACAAAAAGACAAATTGAATTTGATTTTGCTTATGTAAAATATCTAGAATAGGCAAATACATAGAAACAAAGTAGATTAGAGGTTAACAAGGGGCTATAGGGAGGGGGAATGGAAAGTTATTGCTTAATGGGTACAAGTTTTCTGTTTGGAGTTGATTAAAAAGTTTTAGAAACACGTAGTGGGGGTGGTTGCACAACATGGTGAATCTAATTAATGCTACTGAATTGTACACCCAAAATGGTTAAAATCACAAATCTTGTTATATATACTTTGCCACAATAAAATTTTTTTAAAAACTCACAAAACACCATATAAAATATGCATCGATGGGCTGGATCTGGCATGTGTGGGCTCTCAAGCCAATCGTGAGTGTCTCTTCCCAGCTTCTCATTCAGTGATGTTGGTAGCTTGAAATTGGCCAAGGTGGGAGTTTTTTATGCTATGGAACTTGGCAAATGATACAAAACAGAGCTTCACCTCAGTCCCCTCAAGCCATTTGTTACGTATTTACCAGCACACCGCTGACTATATGTATATAAAATTACATAGAAAACTGTCTGGAAGGATAGATGCCAAACTGTTACTACTGCCAGGGAGAAGAATGTGTGGCAGGAATTTAAAAGTAAACTTATACTTTTTATCATACACATTTCTGTATTTCAGTATTTTTACAGTGAGCATAGAGACATATATTTCTTGGTTTGGTTTGTTTTTTTTTTAATGGACAGGAAATCTGCATAAGTTGGGATTGTGGTGTTGGTGGCTTTTCCCTTGAGAGAGTAAAGGCAAGTCACATATACTGTCTGAAATGGCCTGTGAAGAGGCTAAAGACCAAGCCTGGGACCTGGATTCCGTTTCCTTAGAAATTTGCTTTTCTTTTTGTCCAACTGAATGGAGCTTTTCTTGTCTCTTTGTAGGTTACCCCACAGCCTATCCAGCAGCGGCCCCTGCGTACAATCCCAGCCTATACCCCACTAATAGCCCCAGCTACGCTCCAGGTAAGGAGAAAGTGGAGATAGTAGTGGTGAGTGGGGTGGGAGGTGGGATCTATTATATTTGGAAATGCAAACCCACCTGCTGGCCTTTTCCTGTCCTTAATTGCTCTGGGCTCAGCTTGTCCAAGTATAATTCTCCTGGGAGCTCCCTCTGGGAACTGGGGTAGTTCAGCCTTAGGGTGGGGGCAGGAGTAGAATCTCTTCCATTCTACTTGGGACTTAAGGTTGACCCATCTCTCCTTTATTGGAATGTCTGAAACATGCATCCTCCTCACAGAACCTTTTCTGCTCTTCCTAACAATGTCCAAATCCATTCTCTGCTCAGTTGCCCCTGAGGATGTCATTAAGAATCTATCCTCTCCCCTCCCCTCCGCTCCCCTCCCCTCCCCTCCCCTCCCGTCCCCTCCCCTCCTCTCCCCTCCCCTCCCCTCCTCTCCCCTCCTCTCCCCTCCTCTCCTCTCCTCTCCTCTCCCCTCCTCTCCCCTCCCCTCCCCTCCCCTTCCCCTCCCCTTCCCCTCACCTCCCCTTACCCTCCCCTTCTTTCCCCCTCTCTCGCCTCCCCCTCCCTCTCTCCTCCTCCTCTCCTCCTCTCTCTCCCTCCTACCCCCCCACACACGACTTTTCTGGGTGCGAATTTGGAAGTGAGAGACTTGCCACCAGAGGATAAAGAGCTGGTTTTCAAGCTAAAGCAAGGAACTTGTCTTTCAAAAATAATAAAGACCCAGCACTCCTTGGATGTTGAAATAGGTTTGGAAATGTTGAAAAAGTTTGTTCTAGTTTGGGCTAGGAGCAGTGCAGAGATCTTCTCACTGACCTTAATTCCCACACTCAGTGGGTACTTTTACATTCAAGGAGCAGAAGAAAGAGTATGGGCTCTGCTGTTAGTCCTGGGTTTGAATCCTGATTACTCAGCTCACTAGTTGTGAGGCCTTGGACAAGTTACCTTATATCTGAGAAATCAGGGTTGTAGGTGGTTTTATGTTCCTCTTCATTTACTCAGCAAGGATTTGTTTGTTGAATGTATTCCATGCTAGTATAGAAAAAACAGAAAGGATGCTTGCCTTTGCCTCAGTAGCTTACAGTCCATTTGGGAGGCAGCACATAAACAGATGCGAGGCTGTGCAGCGTGATGAGTGTTGTAGACGGCGTACACACAAGAGAAGAGGGAGCAACAGTCTGCCTGAGATCAGACGTGCGGGGGAGGCTTCACGGGGGGCCAGCAACAGAGGCTTGAGGGAGAAAGTAGGAGGCATGTGAGAATGGAGTTTGTCAAGACTCCATTCCCTAGCCCTGGGGTATTTTCCCATGTTGTCCAAAACGTGTGGTGAGAGAATTGTTTTAGGATCAGGATGGCAAAAAAGTAGAGGATGGGGAATAAATAGCTAATATATGTTGAATGATCCGTATGTGCCAGGGAATATTTTAAGCTCTTTATGGATATCACCTTGTTTTATACCTCAACAAACCTTTGAGGTTAGTACTGTTGTTATTCCATTTTCCAACTGGGAAAACTAAAACCTCAGAAGTTAGGGAACTCGCACAAGATCTCAGCCCAGGCGGGCATCCTGCCACCACACCTGCGTGTATTCTTAACCACTGCGTTGCACTTGAAGTTGGCCAGAGAGAAATTGAGGGGTTAGACTAGAGCAGCCAGACTAGAAAGGGAAGAGAGCAGACAGGAGGAGGCTGAGACTGGCGGGGTGGGGGCAGGAGAGAGATTGGAAAGCTCCTGGCATATATAAAGTACTGAGTAAGCTTTAATTTTAAAACAAACTCAATATCAGCCCTCATCAGACTTGATTTTCTTCAATTTTTTATTTTGAAAAGTCAACATATTTCTAAGCTATGACTAAACCAACCCAGACCATTTTATCAGAAACCCACAAAATCCACTAGGGAGGGTGGTATGAGCTCATTGTGTCAGAAAGCCCCAAACTGGGAGTTGGAAGGCTAGGGCTGTAGCATGCACACACACCGGTCCATTTAATCGGGAGGCTGGCCTCTGCACTCAACAGGTCTCCTGACTGCGGCTGGAGTGCTCCTTCTGGAGAGGCGCTCCACCTGGAGACAGGGTGGGGGTGGGGGGCAGTGTAGGTTCGTTTCAGCTCCTGCCAGAGCCTGCCGTTCGTGATGCCCAGAGTTGCCTGCGGAGTAAAACCTGCAAAGGAGCTAGGCTCTCAGGTTTAAATTTCTCTCAGCCTCTTCAGGGAGACCAAGAAGTTGCTTCAGAGAGCTATTTTCAGAGCTCTGAGTACCCTAATATGTCATCTGTCCAGGATGCAGGGAAACATTTCATTGGTTCTGAAGGCAATGTAGGTACTTAGAGCTTTTTCCCAAGCTCTTAATGACTTCAGGGATCTTATTTAAGAAATACTTGCCCCTCCCCCTCACCCCCAGAGGCAGTAGCCAACTGGGAATTGTTTTGAGAATCTGGAGACCACAGGGTATGTCATATTAATGACTTGAAAGTGAAAGGAAAGTGTACGTAGGGTAACTAATGTAGATAAGAATGAAATACTGTCTCACAAGAGATCTGTTTATAAGTCATTTTCATCTGTTGTCTCACTTGATTTCATAGCAGCCTTCTAAAGTACAAACATATCATTCCCATTTGACATATGATGATCCTGGGGGGAGGCAAAGGAAACAATTTCTGTTTTCTGAACAGCTGCTGTCTTCTAGTCACTGTGTAAGACATGTCACAAACATTAATTTTCACCTCAGTCTTGTAAGTTAGAGCTTCTACCGATTTTGCTCAGTGAAGTTAAGTAACTTGTCCAAAGTTGCTCAGCTAAAAAGCAGCGGAACTGGGATTCAAATCCAGCCTGTCTGACCTCCACCGCCTGTGCTCCTCCTCCTGCACCTCGTCTTCCCAGAGGTCTCAGGGAGTGAAGTGGCTTTGCATTGGTCCTCGCCCTTTGGGGCTTTATAGAGAACTCTTCAGAGACCAAAATGATGATTTTGTCCCTGAACCTTTATGTCCTCTAGTACATACAGCCTTTGTCATGTGTGAAGTCCCTTTGCAGTAGTTGGGAGAATTGAAATGTACTCTTAGCATGGACCAGCAAAGCGCGGGAGCGGGAGCTTGGGCTTGTTCTTGTACAGGCAGCTTCTGGGTGAGCCGCCGCGAAGGTGTCGCTCCTTAATGAATGGGCTTTTCTGGATGGCAAGTCTGTCACTCCCCTCCAGAGTAGAGGCCCTTCACACCCTCTACAGTCTCATTTCTTGTGTGGCTTGGGATAAACTGCAAACCTGAAACAAAGTCTGTTTTTGTAACTGCAATGTGTACTACTTTGCACAAATTCTTAGTGGTAATTTCAACTAACATTTCTATCCAACAGAGTTTCAGTTCCTGCATTCAGCTTATGGTAGGAGAGCTATTTTTCCTCATATGTATTATGGCCTATGAATGTGTTATCTCGTAACAATGGTAGATCCCTTCCCCTTTCCTCCTCAAATCCCATCTCCTAGGCTTGGGCTCCCCCAGGTGGCTCAGCAGCAGTTCCTAAAGCATGCGGGAACATGTCTGATGGTGCAAAATCATGGGTTGGAGACACACATGAACCATCCCCTAGGGCAGCAGTGAAGGATCATGGCACTAAAAGGCATCTCACCCCTTCCTCACCTCCGGGGTCCCGATCTGACCTAGGTCAGAAACGTTCATCTTGACCTGGTGGCTGAATTCAAACAAGTGAACAAAAATTCCTGAGCCCGTATGGCTCCCCTGTTGGCTTTGTGGCAGCCCCTTGGAGGAGTACCTGGATTATGCCTCCATTGACAGTCTGAGATGTTTGAAGACCTGGTCGACTAGAGATACAATCTGTTTTTTTTTAGCCCAGATCTGGAGCTCTGGATCTTTTTCAGGGCATTTTCCTGGACGGAAAGAGGTGAGGGTCAAGTGTGCTAAAATGAGCAAGGGACCAGAGAGAGAGCTCTCTGGGCAGTGTGGACTCCAGGCCCAAGGCACCACAGGAACTTCTGGGCACCTGTGAGGGTCCCAGCAGTGTAACTTGACTAGGTCCTTTTTGTCATAGACAGGAAGGGACCATGGGAGGGACTTGACACTTTCACCACCCTCACCTGGGCTGCTCAGGACAATGTTTTCGTAAAATCTCTGCACACCTTCTCAACTTTTACCCTTAAATTATTTGAATGTCGAATATTGAATTTGTGTTTGGCGCATCTTTCAGGAGATGAACTGTGAAATTTCTCTTTGCCGCTCACTGCTGTGGACTGCGTGATCTTGGGCAATTTGCTAATGTTTGCAGGCCATAGATAATGTGTTTTATTCATATGATTTCTGAGGTCCCTTTAAGTGCTACCAGCCTGTCCTCTTATAATTTTTATTATTTTTTCCTCACCTGAGGACCTTTTCCCATTGCTTCTAGAGAGAGAGAGGAGGAGGTCGGGGGGAGAGAGATATCCACATTGATGTCAGAGAGAAACATTGATTGGTTGCCTTTTCATACACACCCCAACCAGGGATCGACCCTGCAACCTTTTTGTCTGTGGGTGACGCTCTAACCAACGCCACACTGGCCATGGGTACTTTTATTATTTCATTTTTGCTATTTACAGACTTGTTCCTCCTTTCGTTTATGGGGAGTCATTTTTTGTTTGCCTCAAGACGTATGAACTTGGACAGAAGACTCCATAAGAAGTGGGAGAAGCTCTTGTGCTTCCACCCCCTCCAGTTACAGAGTCCGTAGTTCTGTGCCAGGCCCTAAGCTGGCCCTTTGAAGATGTAAGACCAGTAAGAGAGGGTCCCTGTTTCCAAGGAGCTCATAGTTTAGTGGGAGAGACAGAGAAGCCAGCTTCTAAGGGACTGGGATAGTGAACCACATGGGATCTGTGAGGAGGCTGTGTGGTCAAGTGGTGGGGAAAAGAAAAACCTTGAAAATGTAGATAGATAAGACTTCAGCTCATGATTGACGAATAATAATAAATATTTACCCGGTAGCATTTGGGGAAAGACAAGGCCGGGAAGAGGGAGCATTGTGAGCAAAAATACAGAGATGTGACATTCCTTGGGCATATTCCAGGAATGATAAGCAGCTTGTGTGGCGGTAGTGCAGGGTTGAGAGGGAGGGCATGAGGAGTCTAGAGAGATCATAGGATGGATCGCGAGGGGCCTTGAGTGCCGCACAAGGAGTTCAGCCTTCGGACTATGTAGGCAGTGGACAACCCTTGAATGTTTGTAAGAAAGGTTTTGTGATTAGGTTTAGGTCTTAGAAATATCACTCTGAGTACAGCTTAGAGATTACAGCAGGTTTAACAACAAACAGAACAATGAGGAAGCAGTTGCAATTGTTCAGGTGAGAGATGAGAGCTTAAATTAGAGCTGTCCACAGCTGTGAAAATGAAAGGGTGGATAGATACCCAGACTCAGAACTGTAAACCTGGATGACACTTTATTTTTGGTCCTCACATGAATACTATGAAGTGAACAGGGAGTGATAATTATTGCCGTTTTGTGAGACAACAAACTGAAGTTTAGAGAGATTGTGACTTGCCCAAGTTCTCACAGTTAATAAGTGGCACAGCCCAGGCTAGCTTTCAGATTTCCTGACTTACTACATTGTTCAGAATGATGGTCCCTTGCTGCCTCTCCTCCTTGTAAGTGTGCTTAACAGACTGTTCAAGTGTCAGAGGGCGTGAGGGCGCCGAGTCCGGGGAAGTGAACAACCCAGCACGTGGATGTGGGCAGCATGCTGGGGCCGGGCCGCGGCCCTTCACTGCCAAGGGCTTGTTCTCTCTCTGTCCTTTTAAATTGAGGAATAACACATATTCTGTAGTATGTGCAGTGCACTAGTCTCAAATGTACAGCTCACTAACTTTTGACATATGTATACACTTGTATTTAACCATCGTCTACTTCACAATATAGAAACATTTCTAGAAGTTGGTACCTTTCCTGGCACCCAGGAGCAAAATGCCTGTCAAAGCTACCTCCTCTGTTACCGTGCCTCTGAAAGGTTCAGCCGGATTGTCGTCATCCCGCAGCTGAGCTCTGAATTGCTACCACCAACAGAATGGGTTATTTTAGAATTGGACATGGAGGAGGAAGACCATGTGGTACAACTAACTAATGAGGAAGTCAGGTTGACAGCTGATATCCATTTTTGTTTTTAGTCTTCCTATTTATCCTGTTATTTAAATTATTAAGTATTCAAATATATATAAAAAGAGAGAAATAATAATATTCGTTTCTTTATAACGAAACCAGAAGAAGATACTCACTGCTTCAGGAACATGTATAGTTTAGTTCACTTGATCACTTGGGAAAGACATAATCAAAGGCACAGTCGCACTTGCTTCTCTCCTGGCTAATCTGGAATATTATTTTACCGTGTGTGATGCTGTCTTGTTCACTCTCTGGCTGGCGTGTGGCTGTGTTGCATCCCAGCTAGACCATAAGTACCTTGTGTGCGGTGACCATGACCCACGTGTGTTCCTGTCCACCGTGGCGCTCCCCTCAGTGCTGAGTGCAGTAGGCCTCAGTCACTCTTTGGTTAATTTTGATTTACTTATTTTGTTGCACAGTCCTTCAGGCTAATGCCAGACTTTTGGCTTATGATGAAAATTATGGTAAAGTATGCACCACTTGGGGAAACAGCTGGACCGGAACTGGACCTCCAAATTCTCCAAATGTTCTGCAGCCACATTTAGGCCTCCTGCAAGTCCCTGTGGGGTCTTGAGGGCATGGATTTGCTTTGTCTGACTTAAACAGAGCTACATTTCACTTTCTAGGGAGCTGTTTTGGGTGGGCTGGGCTGTCGAGCCACATGGAGTGGTAGGTTCTAAATTTGGAGACATCTTGATAAGGTTTTTCAACACTAATTGGATCCTTCATTAATCCTCAACCCCTACTCACCGCCACCCTTCCCCACCCCCACCAATCCCAGAAAAAGAAACCCAAGATAATTGTTTAAAACTAACTGCCCTCGTCCTACATTGTCTGCACAGCCATATCTTGCGGGCCAGCCAAGGCCGTGGACTCAGCCTGGAATTCTGCTGGGTCTCTGTTTCTTCCGCCAGAATTCTCCTTTTAGTGTCACTTCCCTGCCCATGATTTTCTTCTCATTTCTTAGCATCTGCTGTATATATTGCGGGCCATTAATGCAAGGGCAGAGTCAGCCCACAACAGCTACAGCTCCACTTGAATCAACAAAAACAGCAGTCCTTGCCTTTCTTCTCTGGGCGCAATACCTTCATGATGGAAGGAACCAGAGGCATCCCTGTTGCTGGGGCAGGCAGAGGGTTATGGGATCTCTCTGGAGGTGGACTATCCTTTAGAGTATGTAGGCATACTTTCTTCTCATAACATCCTGTCTTACCTTAGCCCCTTGTTAAAATGTTTCAAGTATATCTAACTGTTGCCAGTGTGGCCCCACCTCCTTCTAATGTACTTTAAAATGCCCCATATCCATGACTCCCAAGACCTTATTTGAATGGAAAAGATACTGTTAAAAATGTTTTTTCCCCTTTGTAGCAATTTGGGTCAAAAATGTTTCTCCTCTAGTATTTGAAAGTGTATCAAGGGAAATATCTAAAATGTTAGGCATTTCCCCCCTTTGAAACCCTATTTCCTCTCTCCTTCCCCACAGGATACCATGAAGGTAAGTTTTTTTGAGTTCTTCCCCACTTCTAGAACCTATGAAGCATCATCCTTCAAATTTTTTAAGCTGAGCTTTGAGTCATCCTGGGAATTCTCTGTAGATTTCTTTCAAACTGGGCCTCATCTCTGTTTCACAACTACCTCATTTGACATTTACTTTCTTAATGGCCCAAAATATCATCTTTAATTCGTGAGGAGATATCTCCAAGTGTGGGAGGCCCCAGGAGAAGGTATAGAGGGTGTGCACAAGGTTTGTCTGTCTGGCCCCAGCTGGGTGTACAGGAGGAATGAGGAGGGAGCGCCCCACTGGCCACTGTGCGCCTCCTGAGCTGCCAAAGGTCAGTCCCTTTAGAACAGATGGCAGTCCAGGAAGGTTCATGTCGTCTGGTAATTATTTCGGGGTCCTCCTTTGAAAGCAACTTACTAAATACACCTCCAGATGAGATTTCAGGTGTAAAAAAGTACTCAGCTGATCTGCCAATATGCAGTCAAAGGTTCCAAGTTGCTAACCGTTCATGAGAAAGTGGCTAAGGAATAGTCCAGAGCTTTAGGCCAGAATATCACATAGTAGGAGGCAGTATTTCATAGGCATCTTTGTGGTTTTAGTAATGGGCAGAAAATTCTGACTCTCCTAATTTAGTATGAGCTCAGATTTCCGTGGTTTCATACCCTGTGGACGCCCACTTCAGCACTCCTCTCATCCGCCCACCCAGCTCAGAAAGGCTGAACCGGCCTGTGTGTCTGAACAGGGCCCCTTGCGTTGTATGTTTCCATCCAGCCCAAGACCCTTGCTTTGTGTCTGTGATTGGTGGTGCCCACTTCTTATTTCTGCCTAATGCCATTCTTGTGTCTTCCCTTAAGCAACTCTGCTGATGAAACAGGCCTGGCCACAGAACTCGTCTTCCTGTGGCACTGAAGGCACCTTCCACCTCCCAGTGGACACCGGGACCGAGAACCGAACTTACCAAGCATCCTCTGCGGCTTTCAGTAAATACAGCCTGTCTCCTCCTTTCCTTGTTCCCCTTGGTTGGGACTGATATGTCTTTAGGAAGAAAGGAAAGGGAACTTTAAAAGTGACATTTATAAGACACTATTTCAAGAGGTTCTCTCACCCACCCTAAAATTGGCCCTCCTCATACAGGAAAGGTCATCCTCTTTGATCGTGCAGCCAGCTCTGGGGAGACACAAAGCAGTGAGGGAGGGAAAAGGAAGTGCTTACCCGGCCAAAGAGTTTGTTGAGGGAAGGACTGTTTCTACATTTCAGGGGAAAAGACAGAGGGAACATTTGGGCACCTGCCTGTGGACCTTTAGACATAGAGGGCTCCTCCAGCAAGCACAGGGCTTCTCAGCCTTGGTGCTGTGGACGTCTGGGTCAGACCATTCTTTGCTGTGTGTAGCGCGGTCCTGTGTTCTGTAAGATGCTCGGCAGCGCCCCTGGCCCCTACACACTGGTTGCCAGCAGCAACCCTCATTATAGCAGTCAAAAATGTCTCTAAACAGTGCTAGAGGGCCTCGGGGGGGCCAGATGGCCCCCGTCTGAGAAGTACTGCCCTTGTGGAAGCTACACTGTGGGAGTAAAGCAGGTACCTGGAGTCTCCAGGGAGGACAGAAACCATCTACGTGACCAGTCATATTGGTCACACTCATCTTCAGGCTCACTGAGGTGACTGATGGTTTTATCTTCACATCTGATTTTGAACACAAAATGGTTCCACTGGTAAAATGAGGCCAAAGTTTAGAAATTACTGAGTGGGATTTTGACTTGACTTTGCGTCTTTTGGAGCTGTCCAGAAGAGGAACGGCTGGCTTTGGGTGTGGTGACTGCCTGTCTCTAAGGCTGTTCCGGCAGCAGGTGGCCAGGAACTGGGTGGCATGTTGCCGACTAGGCCCCATAGCATGTGATTCAGTGGCTTATTGATCTATTAAGTAGATCAGAAGAATACATGGTATTTTTTTTCTTTAAAATGCCCACTGTTATTTTCTTCTTAGTTGTCATTGCTCCTAGATGTCAACATCACCTTATGTTTGTATATAACATGACTCTCACCTTTCAGAGAATATGCTTTCATAATCACCTTCTCAGGTAATCTGCACTGTAGTCCTATTATTTGGGTGGATTTTTATTGTATTTTGAAAGCTGAGGCCCAGAAAGCGAATATACTTCTTGCCATCCAACTAGCAAGCAGTGCACCTAGAAAAAGGCATCACCCCCCAGTTAAGCTGCCATTACTGTCTTTTTTCATGAGATCAATTGTACTCTTTAAAGGAGGGATGGCAGCAGTAGGCAGTGTTTCCAGATGCCTACAGCATTATATACGTAAGTGGGCATATACATGTATCTGCAGCTTACGGGCACATGTGCTGTAGTGCAGCAGGAGGAGGCACGGAGTGGAAGACCAAGAGGGCTGGATTCTAGATTTGGTTGTGTTTAGTTCATTTCCATGCTTTGGACCTTGGTTTTCCCAACTGTAAAATAAGGTCATCTTTTAAGTTTCTCTCCAGCTATTATATTAGACTACCGATTCTGCCACATTGGTGCTGGGCATTTAGTACCCTCCATTCCAGCAGGGCCCTTCCCTCTAACTGCCTGACCAGTAGTTGGCCCACCAGTCTTTGCTCACACATTTCCAGGTGTGGGGTACCATTCTCTCCAGGGGCAACCCTTTCCACAGTGAGAAACTGAGTATTAGAAGGCCTTGGCTTCTGTGTTGAAATCTTCCTGCCTTCCCATCGAAATGTCCAGTAGCTAAATCCTGCTGCCCTCTCACAGGTTATCATAGTTCCCTCTCTTTTAAGCAAGTAACGTGTCAACCTGCACTATTTTTACATAGTGGTGGGATTGACTGACCCTCCCATACCCGGCAGGGTCCCTCCCAGCACACAGATTTGTGGCTTAAAATGCAGCAGAAAACTCAGGGCACTTTGACAAGCTCGGTTCAATTTCACCAACACTTGCTAAGCCCGTTTGTAATAATGCCTCCCTCCTACTTACTCAGCACTCTTTTGTTCAGCTACCAACAAGGAGACTTGAGGGTCAAGGCAAGAATCAGACATAGAGCTTTGTCCAGACATATAAATCTAATGGTCAATAAACCAATTAGTCTAAAAGGCACCCTTGATGTGAGAATCAATGACTTTGAAGGTGTGAGGTTCTACAGCTGAGAAAGATTTATGACAGTGCAGAAGGACTGAAGAGAGGACTGAAAAGTTTTACCTCGCTAACGTACACGCCTTTTATTATCCCGTGTGATGGAGCCTAAAATCATGGTTAGGAACCTGAGAGAAAGAAAAGGGTGTCATAAACAAATCCTCTTTTAAGGCAAAATTGGGACTTGTAGTGATCAAATTCCTTTTTTCTGTCACAATACTGCCTCTAGTGAAAAGATGTCATAAAGGCATACCAGATGTTCAGGATTGGACTACAGAGGCCTATAGCTCAGAAAGGAGTTCTGCCCGGAGCGTGGTAAGCCCTGAACTCTGGGCTAGCTCTGCGCTGATGTGCTGTGCAATCTGGGGGAAGTCTCTGCCCCTCTGGGCTCCAGGTTCTTCATGAAAAACAGAGAGCATTGAATTCAAGTCTGTAATGTCCTTAAGGCATAGTAATTCCAGAGACCTAACTCTCTGACCTTCAGATTTAGGTACAACTCCTTTAAAGAGTTGAGTCTATGTTCATTTGAGCAAAATGCATGAGGTTTATTACATCAAACCCAATACCTTCTTTTACTTAGATGCACAAAGTAACAAATGACCTTGAAGGTGGCCCAGGCTACAGCCCAGGGGATTTTCCAGTGATCCTCAGGCGTATGAACAGGACCACCAGTCAGTTGTGGAAAGTCCTCTGCAGTGATTTCCTCTTAAAAATTTCAATGAAATACTCAGAATGTCAGCATTAGAAAGGCCCCTCTGATGTTACCTAGTCCAAATGAGGGTATTTCCTGAGAAAAGAATTGACCTGACTCATGCTGACAGGGCCCAGGATGGGGACCCCGGGCAGTTTCTGCAGCCCTCTGACACAGATGGTCGCCTTAAGAACCACTGTAGTTAGAGGAAGGAGCACTGAGCCGTGAGTCCTCGCGCTCAGCATCTGACCGTATCTCATCTGTGAGACACGTGTGTCAGTCCTAATGCCCTCTGAGATCTGTCCTAGCTCTGCACGTCTGCTTCTCCTCTCGGACTGTCTGGACAAACAGGCAAGGCCTTCTGCAGCATCATCAGTTTGGCTGCCAGGGATGTTTTGGCTACTGATTTGTATTCTGAGTATGTGTGTGTCTTCGTTTCATAACATGAAAAAAGGGTAACAGTCTCAGACAAGGTTATTCTTAGATGTGGAAACCGAATTCTACTGCAGTCTCTTGGAGCCTTTTGATTTTTGTCAGAGGGATGATTTCAACACTTTGTAGGACGGTTGTCCTTGTCTCAGAGAGGGAGATGGTTGTCCTTGTGGCATAGGGGGAGACGTGCAGACTTCTCCAGAGGATCAAAATCCCAGGGCACGTTCTCGAGGAGCACAAAGGAGAGTCACCAACATTGTTGGCTTGTTAACTTTAAAGAATCATAAAACAATGGCATTTTAGACTATAAAATTTTAGAATCTTAGAATCCTGGAGTCTGTATTTCAAGTTGAATCACGCTATGGAAATCATAGTTTAACCTCCTATCTACTGTAGTCCTTCAGACCTGTCTCTGCTTGGACACCCCCAGGACAAGAAGCTCACTATCTCTCTGTGTAGTCAGAGAAAAAGAATAAAAGCAAACCTTTATGAAGTGCTTTTAATGTATTAGGCACTCTTCTAAAGGCTTCGCAATTATTAATGTATTTATCACAGTTACCGTACAACATAGGAAATATTTTTACACCCTCTCTTCATTTTACAGGTGAGGAGACTGATACCTTCTAGAGCTGTTAAGTAGCAGGGTAGGGTTTGGGCCCAGGCAGGCAGGCAGTCTGGCCCTAGCCCACTCATGACCACACTCTGTGCTAGGTAGCTTTCAGAGACCAGCATCTTAGGATTTGGGGTGTCCTGCCCTCATGTAAAGGAAAGATGCTCTCCACTCTGGCAGGGGTCCCCATACCTTGTTTTATCCTTTTAAATCACGAGTTGGTAAAAAAATAATTTAGGCTTTTCAGGCCATATGGTCTCTATTATAACTACCATTGTAGCAGGAAAGCAGCCGTAGTCAATATGTATGTATATAAATAGGCATGGCGGTGTTACCATAACACTTTTATTTACCAAAACAGGCTACAGTTACCCAAAACTGCCGTTTTCCTGGTTTAAATGCTAATGGTATGAATAAAAGATTCTGTGGTAAAATAAATCGGGAATTGGCTCCTGCACGTCCCTGTCTTAGAGAGTCTTAGTTCATCCTGCCGTTTTAAAACTTCTCAGGGTCATGGACTGAAAAAACAAACCAACCTATTTATCTCTGTTTTATATTGCTGCTGCTTGCTTTCTTTTTTCTTCTTTTTTTGCAAAACAATAAGATCCATCTGTGTCCCTTGTATACTCTTGGGACATGCCCAACCCCCTTTGTTTTACAGATAAGTAAACTGCGTCTCTAAGCTGAAGCAACCCTCAGACGGCTCCTTCCAGATGTCTGCAAACCTCGATTCCCTGTCCCCCGCAGTCTCTGCTTCCCATCCCATGGCCACCTCTTGTGATTAGCCCCACACCTAGGAGCGGGGAGGAGCCTGCTGCGGATCCCGCCCCCAGCCGACTCGCATTTCCCCCCCCCCATACCCTCCCCCCCGCCCGCCAGCTAGTTTCTGGTTCTCATCAGTGCTCCCTTCTCTCTCCTGTGCTTTTCCCACTCCCTCTTCATTGCTACTTATCGCCCAAGTGAATTTGACCACAAAATGGGTTTCTCATGGAACCAGCTGTTTATCTCCAGGTGGAAAGATAATTCTGGGGAAAGTAAAGGACATGTTTTATGGTGCCTTTGTGATGACTCCCATACCTGCCAACTCTTCGGGGGCATGGGGGCCCCAAGACAGAGCTGTGATGTGGACTAACAGAGATGTATGACAATATGGCACTGTCCCTTCAACTCAGAAAGGAGAAGTTTCTTATAAACACTTGCCTTTGCTGAGCCCCAGGATCCCCTTGTATAGATCCTTGAGTTCCGTATAACCATTCGTTTTGTGATTCTTGTACCTGTGTGATGGCATGTTTCAGTTGTTTTCCTGTGAATGTAGAATCAGATTCTTTTTTCCAGAAGATTCAAAGGCAGCACAATTTGTTTGAATGGCCAACTATGAGTTTCTTGGAACCTGACTTCTGAGCCTCAACCCCAGCTTTTGTCTACCTTGCTGAAATACCCGCGGCCTGGCCTCCAAATTGATGTGAACCTTGTGATCCCTGACTTCAGGCCCTCAGGCAGAGGCGGCCCTGCCCCAGGCCCAGGAGGAAAGGGAAAGCCAGCTCTGCAGAGCAGAGTTCTTCAGTATCTCTGAAATTGAGGGTCTCTGGGTGGTGTTTTGTATGGAGTTTTCATCTTAAAACTTGGCAGGGAGAAAGAGGAATATGATAGAGGGAGAGAGATACAAGGGAGAAAAAACAGAGTAAGGGGAAAAGCAAGACAGAAAGACAGAAACAGCAGGAAAAGTTACACTGGGCACTTAGTGAGGAGAAAAAGCAGGAAGATAAAGATCGAGCAGGTTGAGGTTCTCCCATCTGTGTACACTTGCTTCTCAGCATGTAGCTCAGAAACCCAGACTGTCTGAGCTGCAAGGGTCCCTTAAGAGATCATCTGGTTCCATCCGTTACTTGATAGATGGAGAGCCCTGAGACCCAGAGAAATAAAAGATTCCAGAATCACACATGCAGCCCTGTGCACCAGGACTGAGGGAGCTGCCTCGGGGGCCAGGGCTCTCTGGGTGGAGCCCTGTTCTCTGTCTGTTCTCATCCGTGTTTCCAGCCTGGATTCAGCCCATTCTTGTCTGGGGAGTCATGACTGGGACCTGCTATCTTCCAGCGGTGCTGTTCTGCCAACTAATTGGAAGTCTCTCTTATTGCCTTGGTACAGGATATACTGCGGGGACACCATACAAGGTCCCACCGACCCAGAGTAATACTGCTCCTCCCCCCTACTCCCCGTCACCCAACCCTTATCAGACGGCCATGTATCCAATCAGAAGTGCCTACCCCCAGCAGAATCTGTATGCCCAGGTAGGTACATGTGGAAGCCTCGGCCCACCTCCTCTGCAGGTAAAGGAACCACCAGCCTAGATGGGTGGGTGCGGGTAAGAAAGAAAAAGAAGGCGAGTATGTCACTGAAAGAATGTCCCCGCAGTCCATACACTCCCTCACTCCACCTCAGCCCCTGGGGTAGAGTGGCAGGAGGGGTGACATACGGAGTCACTAAGATCAGTGGAGCCCAGGATGCCAGAGGGGCAAGGGCCCTTGGAATCATCTAGCTCAGCTGGGGAATCTGACATCCGGAGAGGGGAATGGCTAGTCCAAGGTTGCACGGGGAGCTAGTTGAGTCCCAATGAGACCCCTTCTGTCGGGAGCGTCTCTCTGTACTCCCCAAATGTACCTTTCCTTGATAAAGTCTGTGAGCTTGAGTAGGGAGGGAATAAGTGCCCAGGCGCTGCCGCCAGTTCCTATGTGACCTTGGGCAAGTTATTCTCTCCATCTGCGCCTTGACGCCCCCTTCTGGGCTCCTTCAACTGGAGAACGTGCGCACTCTGAGGGGATGGCTATGTGACAGTGACTGGATGAGGCTTTAACATACTCATGGCGCATTTTTCTGGAGTGACAATTCTAGGTGAGGTTTAAGTAGTAAGGAAAACATTTTTCAAATTTAAAAAACAGCTGTATTGTAGAATAGAATGAAAAACTTCTAAAGCAACCTATATTCCGTGAGGTAAATTTTTCTTGTTTATGGTAGGCTGCTTTGCACTATGCTCTCAGATCTCAGGTTACAAACCATATTCTGAAGCTCTTGTCATTGTGCACTAAAAACCTTTGAGAAGCGCTGGGTTCAGGTGATCTGGGGACCCCCGTCTATTCCCCCCAAGGGCGAGCAGGCCTGTCACTGTGGCAGCAGGAGGCAGCCAGGCGATCCAGGCAGTAGGAGGTCACCGCAGACCATTGTTTCTGTCCTCAACCTTTTTTTTCCTAAAGGGAAATTGGTAGTAAGAGACATCTAGGGAAATGCTCTGCATTTAGGACATTTTTCCAATCTGTACAACAGTAGCGGTCGCACAGGATGACACGCCCACTAATCACCCCTCACGTGTGCACAGCAGCCATGACCACAGCCTCTTCACTCATTGTGGTCTCTGCCTTTACATTTAGGCAGCTTATAGAGCACAATGCAATAAAGTACAAACATTTTTTAAATGCTAAAATCAGTGTTGAGGGAGTAGAGCTATTACCCCATTAGATGATCCTAGCAGCCCTAGGAACGAGGCAAGACAGGGTTGGAGCCTTACTTTTCAGACCACAAGTTGAGCCCAGCACTGAATTGTCCCCATTCTCATAGAAAGACAGAAGCAGAGCCCCACTGGGGCCCATACCCTGTGTCCCTGGATAGTGTTTCTCTGACCCCATCTCTTAGGATCTGGGAAGAATAGGCTCCCTACCCCTCTCCTCCTCTCTACATCCCACCCACCTCTTTCAAAGCCTGTGTGACCTCAGACTCTCCCCCCACCCCCAGGGAGCCTACTACACGCAGCCAGTGTACGCCGCCCAGCCCCACGTCATCCACCACACCACGGTCGTCCAGCCCAACAGCATTCCCTCCGCCATCTACCCGGCACCTGTCGCCGCCCCCAGGACCAACGGCGTGGCCATGGGCATGGTGGCCGGCACTACCATGGCGATGTCAGCAGGTGAGGGCTACCTCTGTGTCAGTGCCCAGCCATCCCCCTTCCGGGAACACACGACATAGTGGAAAACAGTCATGGAATCAACTGTAGCATAGTAGGAGAAATCCCGTACCAGGGTCTCTGGGAACCCAGAGGAAGGATCCGCTGAACCTCTCCACGGGGATGAGGAAGATTTCACCAAGGAGGCATCTTGAGCTAGACTAACTTAAAGGATGAGCAGGGGCAAACCAGAGAAATGAAGGAGGGGGAAGGGCCATCCGGGCAAAAGAACGTGAGCGTGGCATGTTCACAGAATGGAAATGGTCCAAGGCACTTAGAAAGGAGTATGAAGTTGGAAGGGTGGCTGGAGCAGTCGGCAGAGATAAAGTGGGGAAGAGAATACCTTTAGCTAACAGAGAGCTAGCAAAGGGATTTAGGCAGGGAAGAGATGGGGCTTGCTTTAAACATTCTCTCTGGCTGCAAGGTGGAGGCAGGATGAGATGTGGAGAGGCTGGAAGCACGTAGGTCTAGGGGAGGCTGTAGTTTAGTGGAGAGATGATGACACTGGGACTCGGACAGCAGCGGGGGTTCTAGAAAGGAGGGCGTGAGGCAGTGTAACTTAGCTAGCAGGCAGGAGCTTAAGGGCCTGTCCAGTAATTACTTGTAAGGAGTAGGAGAAGTGGGAGTCCAGAAGGGCCCTTCTCCATCTCTGGCTCACTCCAGAAATTAGACCAGAGTCCTGCCCCTCAGGAGCCCTGAGGGTGGGGGTAGGAGAGATGCCAGAGGAAGAGCAGGCTTAGGGAAATCTGGATGAGTTCATATTCCAAAGAGCATGAGAAGGCAAGAGGGCAGTGGATGATTTTTAGGGTCCCAACTTCTAAAGAATCAGCTGGATCACCTTCTGAGGGGTCGAGTGGGCAGGAGGTAGGCATTTGGAATTTTATCCTGCCCCTAACGTAAGGGGTTGTTGAGGCCTCTCATTTCTCAGATCAGGTCAGGGAGCTATGGAATATCTGCTTGGTACCAGCCTTTTGTTCAGGTCCTGGGGACCAGTTATCAATATATCAGACCAGAGCCCTGCCTTTAGGAATAACGAGGTTAGTAGGAAACACAGACACATAAACCAACTGTTACCCCTCAGTATGATGTTTCTGCCATGAGAGGAGCATGCAAAGAAGAGTGAAAGGAGGCCACTGGAGAAGAGTGGTTGGCTCTGTCCTGGAGCATCAGAAAAGCTTTCTCTAAGGAGATGAACCCTGGCAAGGTGGGGAAGGGCAGGTGACAGTTCAGGAGCTGGCTGGGCAGCAGGGGCCAGGTGGGAGCAGCTGTGGGGAAGACTGTGGCTTCATCCTCCTCCTCCCCGTGCCCCGGGACAGCCTCTGCAGCTTTGCTCTCCTCTCTCTCCGTGCTCAGGGACCCTGCTGACTGCACCCCAGCACACTGCGATTGGGGCACACCCTGTCTCCATGCCAACGTACAGGGCCCAGGGGACCCCTGCCTACAGCTATGTGCCACCGCACTGGTAAAGCCTGCAGCCCATCCAAGTGAGTGGGGCCCAGGGCGGGATGGGTAGGAGGGTGACTGAACACTGCACCTGCTTCACTGGCCCTGGCTTGATCTGAAGCACAGGTGTCAGAGGGGAAGGGGAGTTCCCAGTTGCTTTCATGCTTAAGTTCAGTAACAGCACTCTAAATAATAGCTGTCACTTCACATACATTCTAGGTACTTTACCTGATAGCTCATAATTCTTACAGTAACTCTGTGAAATAAGGATCATCAGTCCTGTTGTACAGATACAGACATAGTTCAGCATCGCATAAGCAGTAAAAATGAGGCTGGGACTCAGAACTCCAGTCCTCCGGTACTAAATTCTATGCTTTTTACTATACGGTCTTCACACTGGTTTTAACTGTGGGTACCATTCTTCAACTGAAACCTTACCTCAATCAGATGTTGGCTGTGACTGGGGCCACATGGACACTTGAGGCCAGTGGCCACCACCCATTTCCTCCCTGCCCTCGGCATCTCCTTAGTCAGGGCCAGTGAACCACAAGGTGCCAGATGTGTCACTTGAAATCCCCTGCCCTCCGTGTCCTGCACAGCAGGTAGCTCCACTGGGAGGGCACAGAGGGCTCCCATGGTGAGGAAGCCAGTGGCTTCCTGAAGTGGCCTTGGGAATATCACTGTCACTGATGGCTGTCTCCTTCTTCCCCCAGATCTGGAGTCACACATTGTATGCAACTACTCAAGTCTTACACAGGTGCTGGAGCAGTTCCCTAGCAGCAGCACCTCTATTTGCAAGAAGAGACAACGGAAGTGCAAGGGTCACTTTATGCATCTTTAACGGTTTTGATTTTTATTTTTGATTTTTGTAAAAGCTGCTTTTTTTAATCTCCTGCCTCTCCCCACTTTCCTCCTCTTAGCCACTGCCCTTCCAGCTCTTCTCCTCCTCCTACCTGACCAGGCACTTCCTCTCTGCTCTTCTTCCCTTCCCCCAGCATCCATTCCCCAGGGATCCCAGTCTAGTGGCAAATAGAGAGGGGGGGTTTATTGCAGTGGTTCAGTTGAAGGCGCTGTTTCCTTTGGAGAGTGTGACATACGTAGCTCTTGGGTCCAGGGTGGGAACTCAGAGCTGTTGAGCAGGCTACATCTTTGGGGAATTGTTCCTTTTTTGATTTTTCTCAAGCAAGATTAGTCTAGGATACTGCCATGTCCTGACTCAAATGAAATGTCTTCTGAGAACCATCGCAACAGACCAAGAACAGAACCACCTGATTAGTTAGGAGTGTTCACAGCAGCTTAATACGCCAGGTGAGAGCCTGGGGAAACAAGATTCTTTCTTTGGGAGAACTTGGGGGTGGGGGGAGCAATATGGAAGAAAGAGGGGAGAGAGGTGCTTACCTGCTGGCTTTGGTTTGTAAGGTCTCTGGCCAAATTGCCTGGGCCTAGACCCTCTCATTTGCACAGTAATGTAAACTGACCCGGCACTTCCTGAGAAGGCGATTTTGACCTCAGACCTGCCAAGCAGCTGCAGGGTAGTGGGATCCCAGCCTCCCAAAGCCTTGGAAGGCCAGGTGCCCTCTGTAATCTAGATCTTGGCCTCTGAGCCATGATGGACCCACTCTGATGAGGAGCCACCTCCTGATTAGAGTGGGAACCTGTGGCATTTCTCTCCCTTCCTTCTGCCCTTCCCAGTGCCAGGACTCGCCCATCTGTCCATGGGGCTGGCAGGCAGGCCAGGCTCTTGGTTACCTTTGCCACTCATGGCCAAAGTGAAGGAACCACATTCCAGATGGGTGCTGGCGGCTTTGAAGGTCAGAATGGTGAAGGAAAAGCAATAGCAATAAACATTTCATAGACTCATGGAACTGAAGGGACCTTAGCAATCATCTCATCCATTCCCCTATTCAACAGATGAGGAAGCTGAGGCCACGAGAAGAGGGAAGGACTTCCCTAGATCTTGCAGTAAATTAGCATTAAATGCAGCCTTCCTACCTAGGGGCATGTTGCCTACAAAAATTTACCTAGGGATGGATTGGCTTGGTTTTGCAAAAATTAAGTCAGCGGTGCCCACATCTGGTGAGCTCTGGAACAGTATCTGTCTGCCTTTTTGTTCTCCTCCTCGGACTCCAGAGGCAGGGGTTGAAGCCTGGGCAGAGGTTACCTAGGGGCAGACGGCAGGAACAGAAAATGTAAATGAAGAAATGGCATTTGGAAATTCTGTGACGACATCAGGAGCTTTCTTCCTATACCTGAATCCAGCCCTAGGAGAACAAGCAGGTGGGCAGGCTGAAAAGGAGAGGCTGTGCTTTGAGGACAGTAGCTCCTCATCCTCAGCGGGGAGGAGGACGAGGCTGAGGTCCAGGAGACACGAGATCTCCTGGGAGAAGAGGGGTTCCTGGATCAGGAGGTCCCCCTAGTCTTAGCCGGAGCCTGGTTCGTTCAGCACTGCCCCCCCCCCCGCCCATACCCAGCGCTTGGCTGGGCCAGCAGCCCCCCAGTGGGGCCAGGGACATTTTACTATACAAAGTGGGATCATTGATAACATTTGGGACTTTTAAATAACTTTTTTGATTTAAATTCATGCAAACTTGGACGTATCCCTACCCCTACCTCCCATGACTCCCTAAAGGAGGAAAAAAAATCAGGAACCCTTGGGCCAGAGGGACCTCAGAGGCTGCCTGGCCATTCTGAGGAGGGCAAAGCCCCTCAGCTTCCTCAGCCCAGAGCCAGGAGTTGGGGGCCCACCTTCTTGGCCTTCCAGGGATCTGTAGGACCAGTAAGGAGAAACCCAGCTATTCTAAATGGTCTGTTGAAGAAGTTTTCTTTTAAAACAAAGTTTTCCAGTATTAATCCATTTTTTGCAAATACCTCCTCCTACTCTTTGGTTTTGTAAGGGTGGACGAAGGTTGGTTTAGATTATGTCATGTTTGGAAAATGCCAAAATAATAATAAGAGGAAACTTTTGCATTTGTCAGGTGCTTCTTAGATTTCAGAGCACTTCACAGCCTTTAATTTACTGGCCCTGAGACAGAGAGAGACAGGATCAAACAAGGAAACTGGTTCTGCATGGAGAGGGAATTTGCCCAAAGTGAGCAGAGTGCTGGTACGCCGACAGCCTCCCCTGAACGGTGCCACTTCTGGATGGGCTGGAGTAGCGCCACAGAGAGGAAGGGATAAAGAGGGAACTTAGGAATGACCTTGCTATTCTTATTCTTTCCACGCCAGTAAGTAAAAACTAATGTCTTGTACCTTGCAGTTCACAAAGCAATTTCATAGCCATCCCCTGATATAACCCTGTGAAACGGAGTATTCCTCCCATTTGATTCGTGAGGAAACAAACTCAGAAAACAGTGACTTGCTCCGAAGTGGCAGAGCCACTTGAATCCCAGTCTGTCTGCTGTCTCTTTCCCTCCAGCCCGACTGCACACACAGCCTTGCAGACTGAAATATCTATGATCTCCACCCTTTCTTAGTCCTAGTATGTAATTCAAGATCAAAGACAGGCCCCAGGGCATAAACAAGCCTGTGGTCTGGGAGAGCCCCGGCCCAGCACCCCTTTTTCGGTATGAGTGTTGGAGCCCCAGTTCGGCCGGCCTCACCCTCTTGCTTTGATGGAGATCCACGAGCCTGGCCAGGCTTGGGGAGCCATTGCAGAGGGACTGAGCCGGGGAGCAGGGGCAGCACTGTGCTTTTGGTAGGATGAGCACACCTGGTACTCTCACGGGTGTCTGTCAGGAGGTGCCAGGGGCACCATCCAAAGATACTGGGTGGCCCACTGGCCAGGCTGGACAGAAGATCAGAGCTGGAAGGACCCTGTCATTGTAGGAAGGCCAGCAAGCCAGAGAGGACAGGGGTGTGCCAACGTGGCGGTGAGCTGCAGTGCTGGTACCACATGCCAGTCCCTCCCTACCCCCCTGCCTCTCCCCGGTACCACAGCTTGGTGGCCCAGGCTAGGGGCATATAGGTGGTTCCAGAGCCAACCCTCTTCATTTCCCCCATTTCTATTTGACTCCCTCTCAGTCTGGGGCCTAGGAGGCTGTGGTGCCCCAATGGTGAGAGCTTGAAACAATCTGCCACATTTTGGAAAAAATATTTAAAATGTATTCCCCACGAGACAGGACAGTTGCCACTGCTCGCTCTCTCTTTCTCTCTCTACTGGCAATGACCCTAAAGTGATGTTCTCTTCCCATGCCTAAATACTGAACAAGGACACACACCTGTCCAGAGTGTTTTTCATGTACGAAATACTTTGACATTGATTGCCAAAATACCCAGTTTGCAGATGGAAAAAACTAAGTCTCAGAGGCTTCAGAGACTTGCCAAAGGTCACAGGGCTCGTAAGAGAAAGAGCCAGCACTTGAACTCTTCAGATCCTCTCCTCTCTGCTGGCACCTGCGGGGGCTGGGTGGCAGGTGCGAAGAAGGGATGGGCTGCCCGTCTGCCCTGTGGGGAGGGCCGGGCCCTAGAGGCAGTGCCCAGTCCTTGCTCCTCACCCCAGCTCTTATCTCTGGCCACCCAAACTGTTCTAAGTTCGAGGTCTCCCTGATATCCCTGATGGGGGTGCTTCTCCAGAGGGGCTTGCTTTGTTCTGAGTGGCCTTGAGAAATGAATTGTGGGGCATAAAGGAGGGCGGGCCTCTTGGTCACCAAGTTGTGTGTCATTGTGCAGACTCAGCCAGAGTCTCAGCGAGGCCCTGGCTTAGCCAGGCCAGGAGCCCTGCATGTCAGAGTCCTCAGCTCTGCTCCGTGGCCGGAGATGGAGGGCCTGGATGGCGTGTGTCTTGGTCTTGGTGTGGTCTTGGTCACAGCACTCTGACTAAAATACTCATTTAGATGTTGCCATGGCATCTCACCTCAGTTGCAGCTGAGAGTACGTGCGGGCTCTGCTTTTCCATTCTGCGTTCTGCCACAGCACTGTAGGGCACGTGGTGCCCAGCTGCTTGCCAAGCTGGGAAACCCGGAGCGGGGTCAGGCCAGGCGGTGGAGTGGGCAGGCGGGAAGCAGGCTCCAGGCAGCTGTGTAGCCCTTGGGGAGTCCAGGCCCGACCTGCCTCCAAAAGCAGGGTCGCAGGAGAGGGCACTCAGCCAGGCTAACATCAGCATCCACACCTGGGCCTCCTGAGCGCTCAGGCTCCCATGGGGCATGTCAGGCTGGCTGCAGGATTTGCCCTTTACCTGTCTCTCCGTTCCCGGTCCTTAGAGAACGCATTTCTGAAATCAGGTCTTACCTGGTTCCAGGGCCCAGCCTTCAACACTCCTGCCAGGCCAGCCTCAACATTCCATAGCCAGCCTTGCCTGAGCCAGACTCGGTCCCACTCACTCAGTTTCAGTGGCTGTTTTCTATCTTACGTGCTGTTGAGTGCAGCCCAGTGGCCAGCCAAGTGAGAAGCACAGGAATTAGGACTGGTTGTCACAAGCCTGAAAGGAAGCTAGAGTTCCCGCTTTCCTGTGGCTGCATCGCTAGTCCCCAGGCTCCTTGCTGTGGCAGCGAGACCCTGTCCCCATTCCAGCACCTGGTGGAGGGCTGTCTTCCTTCCTGAAGAGAACAGATGGAACAGCTTTGCAGCTAAGTACAATACCAGCCCATGGGAGTCAAATGGGTGAAATCATCTTTGAGCCTGACCCCAGCAGACCAACATCTTCAGGCTCCAGCCTTCCTCCTCAAGCCTGAGAACCGGGAAGTGGGGCTGCCCAGAGACCGCCTGCTCGGGTCAGCCAGGTTATCTGCGTGTGTGGTGGGACTCAAGCTTCTCCTTACCAAGGGGAGGTAAGACCAGGCCTCTAGCAACTTGAAGTTGTCTGTAACGACCTTTAAAGGCCCAGAGGCCTGTCCCCATCTCCTGACTAAAAGGCATCTGCACCCGTTTCATATCATATGACAGAAACCTGTTCTTATGGCATGTAACATCCCTGTGAGAGAGTGTTGTATATGGGTTTGTATTTTTTAATTCATTTTAATCTACAGGTTGGAATCTAATTTTTAAATTTTATTGGAATTTACATTTTAAAAGCAAAAACATTTAAAATAATAATAAACCTTTGACCAGTGTCTTCCAAGTAGTTTGATCAAAGAACTTATAGGTGTTTTTAAAACACAGCCTGGAGTGCAAAGATTGGAAAGCCCCATGGCCTCGCTTGTGTATATGAAGTGTAAATTTGGTTTTGTTTTGTTGTTTTGGATTCTTTTGGGTTTTGTTTCATTTTGTTTTGAAGATCAGATAGTGATCACTCTGAAAGATTGAAGCCAAGAATTTGTAACTATGATATTTACTGTAAGCTGTAGAACATTCAATAACTATTAAAAAAAAAAAAAGTTTCCAAAAAAATAAAAGTCTGGGGTGACCAGACTGGTGATTCTTGGGGCAGGGGACACAGACCACCTCCTGGGCCAGTGAGTCCCCTGAGCTTCTTAAGTTGGTTCTAAACTGGTTTCCCCCGGTCGGGTAACACCGATGCTGCATCTCCCTGCAGGCATAGTGGGCTGCCCTGGGACTCCCAGGTGAGGGGCCTGGGAAGCGGCCATCAGCACCTGGATGGAGGTGTCTGATACTGGAGCGCAGGGAGCCAACAGCGCGGGCTGACATCTGCAGAGCGCCCACCACGTGTGGCTGGTGCTGCTCTTGACGTGTGGTAACTCAACCCGCACAGCACGGTGGGAAGCGAGCGCTGTTGTCAGGCCTGCCCTCAGCCGGGGACAGCTAAGGAAGGTAAACCTTGACCAAGGTTGCAGAGCTGGTGAGGGGAGAGTTGGAACTCACACTTGGCCTGGCTCCGAGGCCCAGGCACCAAGCTGCATGTTCTGCGGCCCCCGCCCCGAGGAAGCAATGCCTGCTCTGCAAAGGGTAAATGTGTCGGGTGGGAAACAAGGGAAGGGAAGTGGTCTCCATCCCAATGTTCACCAGGTGTTGACAGCTTTACATCCTCAGCATCTCACTTTTGGCTCCATTCTGGACAAAGCCACTGTCCTAGTCCCGTTCGGGGCTACTCTCCCTGGTCATTGTGGTCAGTGTTTCCTTCCAGGGCCTGGCCCCTCCAGTCTGTACTCGCCCAGCCTCCAAGTACTTAGTCTCCTCACATGGTAAGAAAACAGGCCCAAAGAGGCTAAGTGATGAGGCTCACACTCGAGCTGTAGTTACAACTCGGACTCCTAACTCTCCAACCCTGTCACCCAAACCACCCTCGGTGCCTCCACAGCACCCTCCCAGCTTCCCCTCCTGTCCTTACCTGCCGGGAGGCTCGTTCTCACGCAGGCAGCTCAGTCAGGTGTGGGAGGGGAGGGTACCTCCGCCCTCAGGCAGTGCCAGCCTGGGTCACAGCACTTCTCCAGGGCAGGAAGGGGATTTTTACCAGGAACTCGGCTCCAGGCCACAGCGGCAGGGCTGCAGGCCAGGAGCGGGCAGGGAGGCAGAGCTGGGCCCCAGCGCGCACCAGTCAGCCCTGGAGGAAAGGGTGTGGGCGGAGTAGGGAGTGGTCAGCCCAGGGCCCTACCCTTCCAGCCGCCAAGAGCTGCCAGCTGCTGGCATTTAGACAGGGCAGGTCTGGGAAGGGACAAGCCAGGAAGCCTTCCAGGTGAGGGTGGGGTCCTGAAGGCCAGGACATCAGACGACACACCCCCTACCTTGATATCGCAGCTTGGCATCCCACTCTTGGGAGCTGACCTCAACATCCCCGAGGGACTGGTGAAGAAACAGGCCAGAGCCATACTTGTCTTGCCTTCCAGCAAGCAGAAAAGCGGGGGGGCGGGGGGGTTCTGGAGGGGGGCAGTGCTTATGACCCCTGGGCCCAGCACCAGGGTGGGGGTGTCCCTCTCCTGGCCTGCGAAGCCATTCCCAGGCTCCACCCTAGCCGTCACCTGTATGTGCCTCGCCCCAGGTGAGGGCATTTCGGGGCACTGTCCTCACCTCAGTGTGTCACCTCAGTCCTAGGTGAACTGGGATTGGTTGGCTGAGGAGACACTGAGAAGCCAAACCCGGAGATGCTGCGCCCAGCTGGCAAATAAGGACACAGTGCACCCTGGCAGTGGCAGGAACATTTCTTTGGGTGCCCTGGCGATACTCACTAGTCCCTCACCAAGAACACCCTGTTCTAGGCTTTCTCAACCTTTGGAGCTCCAGAAAAGTCCTCCTGATACCCAGCTGCTCTGCTTCCTGCCCTGCTCCTCGAGCAGGTGAAGCCTTGTTTCCTGGGTCCCGGGAGGTGCCCTCCCTTTCCTGCCCACCTGAGAAGCCCCAGAGAGAAGTCGGTGGCGTAGGAAGGAGAGGTAGGAGGGCTGCAATCTCCCGGCATGCCTTGCCCAGCAGCCCCGGCCTCGGCCGCCGGCAGGCCCAGCGCGACACCACAGGGGGCCCGGGCCTCGCACAGGGGCCCTCTCCACACCACCAGGCTCTATCAGGCGTCCCGGTGCTTCTGCCTCTCCTTGGGCCTTTTTCCCATTAGTTTTTAAATGTGTCCCCCTCTTCTATGTTAAAAAGAAAAAAAACCCGAACAGCAGAAGAACCCAGAGCTGAACTGAAAACCCCCTCTCCCTGGAGTCTCGGGCCCCCTCAGCTATGGCCTGGCGCAGTCAGGCTTCCGCGGGGGGCTCAGGCCACTCAGACCGCCCTGCTCTCGCCACTCCCAGGAGAGGATACCTGGCGCACCCGCGCCTCCCCATCATGGGACCGTTCCTTCTGACCCTGCAGCAGCAGCCCAGCAGCAGCACCTGGCCTCATGACCCACCTGCTCCCCACACTCTCCCCGGGCTTCCAGGATGCTGCACCTCCTTTGCTTTCCTTCCCCCTCCTTGCCAGTGCCCTGGAGCAGCCTGGCAGTCTGCCCTGAGCCCTTGCCCTGGAACATGGCCCCTCCCAGTCCAGTACAGGTAGAAAAGCCCAGGTGAGTGCTTCCAGGTACTCTCCTAGCCCGGACCTGTCTTGAGAGCAACAGGCCTTCACATCAGATGCCTCAGGACATCTCATGGGGCAGTATCCCAGCTGCCGTAGGACTGCTGCTCCTCTTCACCCACCCAGCTGTCCCAGCTGTCCCAGCTCCGTTGACTGTCACCCCATTACCACGCCCCTGTGGTTGTGCTCTAGGAACCTACTGGTCCATCCATCTGTTCCCGTCACACCCGTGCACCCTGGCCTCCACCCTCCCTCGCCTGGATGTCTGCAACAGCTCCCACTCTGCACCCAAGACCAAGCGGGCCGCACTCCCCGCTTCCTGCATATGCTTCGGAAGCGCCTTGGCGTCCCTGGGACGAGGCCGATGGCTCTGAGAGCCCAGGTGGCTGCCTTCTAAGGCCCAGCCTTATCCCAATCTCCACCCTGTCAAGAGGGTTCTACTTCCAGCCTTTCCAACTCCTTACATTTCTGCTGACTGCCGGCCTTTGCGTATGTTGCCGTTCTGTGGAACGTTTCCCCTTCCACGTCCTCCAGCCCCCAGTGGCTTTCCTACCCCATCCATCTTCCTGGCTCCACTTCCTCTGGAGCTGTGCTGTCCAACACAGGAGCCAGTAGCCGCAGGCGGCTACCAAGCCCTTGAAGTACATTGCTGGTTCATAAGAAGATGTGGTTTATATGTAAAATACACACCAGATTTCAAAGCAAAATACTAATGGCTCATAGTTTTTATACTGATTGATTGTATATTGAAATGAAAATAGATATTTCCTGGGTTAAATGGAATGCATTATTGATAGGGTTAAAATTCACTTGTTTTTACTTTTTAAAATGTGGCTATTAGAACAATTTAAACTGCATACATGACACACACACTATTTCTGATGGCTAGCACTGCCTCCAGGGCTTCTGTGAGGACCAGGTCGGGTGACGGGCCTCCTGCAGCCCCACTTCACCTGCTGCCAAAGAGAAGGCAGCTCAAGGGGAGGGATGGCCTGTCCCCCACACAGCACCTAACAGAGCTATTCGGCGACTGGACAGCCAGCCAGGGAAGAGGCACAGGGAAAAGAAGCTCCTCGTGACACCACTATCCCACCTTTTATTCAACAAATGGATGGGGATGGAAACGCAAGGACAGGACAACAGCCAAGTTTCAATAAATAAGAAATAGGGACGAGAGTGGGGCCCGTGCCTGCACAGCCCCACATAAATAACCAGGTTTCTGAGCTATGCTGGAGACAGGCTGGGCTGTTGCCCGCACTGCCCAGGCTAGGGACAGACACCAACACCACAGGGACACACAGCACCTAGGTCAGAGGTGCCTCTCCAGCCTGTCACACGCCTCTCCCTGAAGCTCCTGCTACCGTGCAAGTAGCTGGACAGGCTGGGGCTCTGCCACAGCCCCACCCAGATCAAGTCTGTTCTTCAGTAAAAAGAGCAGGGGGAGGCAGGCGCATGCATTAAGCCCCTCTGTAGGCAGAGCTGTGGGTGGATAGCCCCATAGGGGCCTTGAAGGTAGAGGCCCTGGAAGCAGCAAAAATGGGGCCACATGAAGCTACTAGTGGGAGAGGCAGCAAGGAGGCAAGCTCTCCCCCTACGAGACCCAGCTCAGAGCCTGAAGGGGGCTGGAGAGGCCCTGGGCCCTGAGGCTTCGAGTCAAAAAAATTTGGACCCAGTGATGGCCAGGGACTTGCCCAGGATTAGAACCCAGGAACTCAGACTCCCAGCCCACGGCACTGTGTTGCCTCAAGAGGAAGGGGAGGTACATCTGCTGGAGGGCCCTGTACTGAGGCAGGAGGTGGCTAATTACCAAGGTGTGGGGCCAGGGCTGCCAAGCAGAGGGCCCCTCCCTACCTTCAAGGCCCAGCCTCCTGGTGGTACAGAGGATCCCGTGGGCTCCTAGGATCTGACCAGGGCACAGGGCCAGGGGCATCCTGCAGGGAAGGAACTGGGCAGCAGGGATGCGCGGGGCTTTCAACTTGCTCCTGGACACGGTGCCTGCCGGCCTGCCTCCTCACTGGGGCAGACACTCCCGCCTCCAGGCCTTGGCCTTTGCTGTTTGTCTGCTGGGCCATTGCTTCGTGATCCTTTCGGGCCCAGCTGGAGCTCTACCTCCTCCAGGAAGCCTTCCCAGGACAGGCCGCAGTGTCCTCAGACAAGAGAGTCCCTCAGATGACCAGGTTGCTCTCACTTAGCCGGACCACATAGCGGTTCTCCTGGGCAACAGGAATGAGGGGTCAGAGCTGGGTCAGGGGGCTTCTGGGCTCCAAGAAAGTGGCACCTTCCCAGGGCGCCGTGCACTTCCACCCGTGCCCTGTCTGCCGTCAGGGGAGACGCCTTCCCTCACTGGCCCTCACCTCGGCCTTCTTCTCTGCCAGGGGCTTTGGCCACTTAGTGTGGTTTCCACTACTTCCCAGCAGTGCCCGCTGCTCAGTAGGGAGGCCAGGTTGTGGGGAGTCAGTGAAATCACCCCCTGAAGGCCCAGCCTCCGTGATGGTCTTCACCTCAGAGGCCAGTGAATTTGTTCGCTGCTCAGGAATTCGGGCCACGCGGAACCTGTAAGGAGAGGTAGCGCAACCACCCCACCCCGGTTAGAGGAAGAACCTGGAAGAAGAGAAGGCAGTGCCTGCCAGGGCCACACAGCAAGTTCAAGGGTCAGAGCCTGAGCCCTCCCCCTGCCATAGACGAGCCCCCAACACCCCCAGCCCTAGGTTGCAGCAGGCCCTCAGCCTGCAGGGCCCTGTGTGGTAAGGGGCCAGGACCCTGCCCTGGGGGCCCAACGGCTCCACGGGACAGTACGGCTGCGCAGCCCTGACTGCTCCTTGGTCACCCTCACCACCCAGAGAAGCACACTGAGGCCAGGAAGGGTGCGGCCGTCGCCAAGCAGACTATTCAGGGCTCAGCCCAGGGCCCTGCCTCCTCGCCCCCACTGCCGTGTCTCTCCCTGGCCCTCCTGCGTCCGTGCCCGCCTCACCTGCCCACAGACAAGATGGTGATCTCGCCCTGGCGTCCGGCCTTGGCCCCGGCCTTGGGAGCCCTGGCCGGGTTGGGCAGGAGCCTGGGAGTGGGAGTGGTAGCAGCTGCAGCTTCAGGGGACAGCAGCACCTCAGGCCACTTCTGGCTACAACGGGAGCAGCATGGGCCAGAGAGTGAGGCCAGACCCTGCACGGTGTGGAGGTGGTGGTGGTGCGGACAGATGTATGGCATGCTGGGGGGTCCAGGCGGCAGCCTATGGAGGGCACAGGCGGCAGGCACTGGTCACTAGGCCAGGCCAGGACCAGGAGAGAGCACAGGAGCTGAGTATGGGCCCCCCTTGCCCACCTGCCCACTCACCTAGGCGCAGACCCATGGCTGGTTTGCACCAGCTGTTTGCTTTGATACTCCTTCAGCAGCTCCTCCAGCGCGGCCGCGTTCTCTGTAGACAGCTGAGTCAGGACCGGCTCTGGGCCGTGAGGAGCACCCCCCTGGACCCCCGCCCCAGCACCAATCCCCCTACCTCCCCCCTCCCCCCTCCCTGCCTGGGCCAGGTGCCTTTTCTTCCACCCAGCACAGCCCCAATCAGGCAAGAACAGGAGGGAAAGGGGAAGCACCATCAGCCACGCTGGTCTGAGGGCCAGCTGGCTCCGGGTGACATGGCGGGAAGGGCAGAGCAGGGCGGGATCTGACCCCTGAGTCTCCTCACAGGCTGTGAGAGGAGACCCTCCTTCCTGGGCACAGGCACGGTCACACCTTCCCTCACCTTTCTTCTCTGTGATCAGGCGCACCAGGACCCCGATGGTGTCCTCGTTGGCATCCTCAGCCCGGTAGGCGGGGTTGTTCCCTGGGGTCGGAAAAGGACCGTGATCCTCGGGAAATGAGGAGGGTGAACGCCCGACTCTCGAGCTATACCAGAATGTGGCAGCAGAGGGCGCACCAGGACGCCCTGAGAGTTGGGCTATAAGCCCGGGTGTTTATGAACCTGCTTGGGGCCGCAGCGCTGAGATGCTCAGCATCACTGCTCCTGCACCCAAAAGCCCCACTTCCTTGTGGGCCCTTTGCAGTGTCAGGGCCACCTGAGCTCCACAGTCCCTGCAGAGAAAGTGTGTGGGGTGGGGGGCAGCCTCTTCCGGGGCCTGCCCTCTGCTCCTCAGCCAGCCACTCCCGCAAACTCTGCCAATTCCAGGCCTATTACCTCCCTGCACACCATCCTGTCTATCTAAGGGCTCTTAGCTTAGGGCCTAAACTTCAAAGGTATGAAGATGGGCCACGTGGTCAACCCTGGGCCAGCAGCAAACAGAACTCCTAGGACTGGTACCCAGGCAGCAGCCAGCAGTTGAAGCTAGTCCTAGGCTAGGAAAACAAGGACAGTCCCAGGCAAGATGGCCTGAGTTACCACCTCCTGCCTGCCCAAAGCTCCTGCCTCCTTCCTGGCCCCTCCAGACGTCAGTGGCAGGAGACGGGAAGGGCTCTGGCTGGTCCCAGGCAGCCTGGGGCACTGGCATGGGGGGTGGGAGGTGCCATTTCGATCTCGACTTGGCCACAAGTCTCCTGTGGGCAATAAATGTGCATGTAGGGCCCCTGCCCTGGTGGCCCTCAGGGTAGAGGTGGGGACAAGGGGGCCCAGGGCCCTGGGGTGGCAGTGGGAGGAACACATGGTTCCTCTCTGGTTCTCCCTCTGGTTCCAGGACTCGTAACTCAAACCGCAGCCTGGAAACCTAAACCTCTCCTGGTGCCTGCCCAGGAGAGCCGCCCTGCCAGCCCTTTAGGCCAGAGGTCAGAGGTCACTCTGAGTAACAAGCAGGCAGCCTGCCCCTCGATCCACACACAACTGTAGCCCTGAAGAGTCCAGACCCCTAGAGCCAGGCATGGCCTCACCCAGAGTGGGATCCCACTAAAGCCACTTAACATGCCTCTGCTCTTCCCCGTCCCTACCTGAGGTGCCACATCCTTCCTTCCATCTTGTCAGTTTGCAGTGTCCCCCTCTGTGGCCCAAATGCAGCACCTCCAGGAACCCCTCCCGATCTGCCTTCTGCAGGCCCCTCTGGTCAGACCCTCCAGGCCAGGCAGGTTCCCTGGGTGGCCCACAAGCTGCGCTGCGCTGGGCTGGGCTGGGCTGGCCCGGCAGCGCCCTCAGGCCTGCCCACCAGGACCCCAGGCTGGGCCTCACCGCTGCCTCCAGCTCCAGGGCGAGGTCCGACCTCCTTGTGGGCGGTGCAGTGGTAGCCCTTCCGCTTGAGCAGGTTACACACCAGGATGCCCAGCAGCCCCATGAGGCAGAAGATGGGCACGATGGCAATAACCGCGTACGGGGCAGCCGTCTCCTCGGGGCCGCTGGCCCGCGTGCTGTTCCCAGGCTGCTGTGTCTCCCTAGTGCCGCTGCCCCCTGCTGTCACCTCCACACCACGCCGGGTCCGCCGGGTCCGCCGGGTCCGCTCTGAGCACACGGAAGACACAGGAGTGGAGGCCAGACCGAAGCAGAGGGAACGCATACGCGGAGGCCCAGGACGCACATCAGGGGGAGGGTGTGTGTGTGACACAGAGAGAGACAGAGAGAGAGAGAAAGATGAGGTGCTGTTGTGTCCAGAGCCGCCCATGCTGGGGAAGCAAAGGCCGACTCCTCCCCACCCCCCGCCCCTGCTCTGTGCCCATCTGATCATCAGCCTGAGGGAGGCGTCCTCAGGCCTCAGGAGGGTCAGAACCCCACCCCCTGTGCATTCCTTATGCTGGGGCACAGCAGTGAGCAGACGACACCCGTACACGGGTCTGGGCACAGGGACACCGGGTCCTGCCTCCCCATGACCCGGCCCATGCGTTAGCTGCCTCAGAAGGCGGCCGACTCAATGGTGAGAGGAGGCGTGCACTGTGCATGTGCAAGCACATGTGCTCACTCTCATCTGCACGGCTGTTTTTAAGGCTACGAGGCTAGAGGACAGACAGGTCAGGATGTGAACCCTGCAGTGTGGCTGCCACCTGCTGGACAGTCTCTGGCACTCAGAAATGAAGTGGCTGACACACAGCGACAGTGACCATATTCTGCGGGACACCCTCTGCTGTTCACCCTCCCGTGAGCTGAGGGAATGAGAACCCCACTGCCTTGGATGGACACTGAGGGGGTCCCTGGGCTCAAGCTCACCAGACCCCCTCCTTATGTACCCTCATGGGTCGTAGACCCCCTGTGCCACTCACCATAACAGCCACGAGGACCGAGAAGTGGCCAGGAGCATGGCTGGCAGGGAACATGGGGAGCCGCTGAAGGAGCAAACCACCTACAGGGGAGGAAGACGTCACTGAGACCCAGAACCTTCCTCAGAAGAGGCCAGACCCCTTCCTACTGGATGCACATACTGGTCCTTACCCATCCCATTTCACAGATGGGAGGACTGAGGCCCGCTCAGGGCCTGGGTGAGGCTGGGACCCCAGGATCCAGGGCCCTGGTCCCTCGGCATGAGCCCCCACGCCCCGGCCCGCCCGTGGCTCACCCAGGCCGGCAGTCTCCGCATAGTGTGTCTCGAGTCACTGTGCCCGCCTGGACCTCCAGCCTCCCTCGAAGGCTGCAGCGGGAGTGGGGCTGGCATGGCCTAGAGCCCCACAAGGCTGAGAAGGTGCCCGGGGGGCAGGACCTGCATAGCGAGCCCTGCCCCGGGTCCTGTGGGAGGGAAAGGGTGAGAACAAAGCCAGGAGCCAGGCCTGCGGTCCCTGGGAAGCCTGCCCCGCAGCCCCGAAAGTCTTCCCAGGGCAGGCAGATGGGCAGGGCGAGCTCACCGGTTCAGGCTCCCCCCCGGGCGGGCACTGCCAAGGCGTCGTTGATGCGGGCGTAGCCAGAAGCCAGGGCAGCAGCTGGAAGGACAGCGGGCAGGGCGCCCTGAGCAGAAAGTGCTGGGCCACGGCCTCTCTGGGGCTCTCTGCCCACCACCCACTTCCTGATGTCCCTGGAGTGGGGACTCAGCTCGGCACAAGGCCACTGCCCCCAGGCCTCAGGGACGCTCTCTAACCTCAGTGCCTCATGCTGCAGGTCAAGCCCAGACCTGCTGCATGGCCATTGCCTGGTCAGGGAGAGAACCCCATCTGCTTCTGGAAAGAGCTGGAAAGCCCCAGAGAGGGCCCAGTCAGGGTGGCAAGCCCCGGGGTCGCTGCGTCACCCCCCTTCCATCCTCCAGGACAAGGGGGAAACGCTTCTGGATTCCTCTCTCCTGGCTGCCTTGGTGCCCCCCCCCACCCCCACCGCAGCTGTGCCCCGCATCTCCCAGCCTCCGTTCACCATCCCTGGGGCCAGATTGGCAGCTGCCACTTCCTATTCCTCCGGCTGGAGCCTCCGGGACCACATCCCCCTCTGAGAGTGGCCCGTGACGCATGACCGACCTGTCACTCCCCTGCACCCCCACAGGGCCCGAAACATCCCAAGGGAACGCTCTTCTCAGTTTGAGTCCTCAGCCCACTCCATTGGGGCGCGGGGGCTCCCTCTGTTTCCCTTTCCAGGGAGGAAGTGTCTGCCCTGAATCCACCTGCTCTGGGGAGACCCCTGTCCTCTGATTTTGCTCTGGGGGTGGCAGGCACAGAGCAGAGACAGCTGCCCTGAGGGCAGATGGTATGTCACACAGGAGGCACTGGGGAATTCCTCAGGCCACAGACCTGGCTCCCAGCACCAAGATCAGTGGGCCAAGAGGCGCTTCCTAGGGTCAGGATGCGTCCCAGGAAGAGCTGAGAACCAACCCGACCCGACCCAGCCCAGGTCCCTGAGCAGCCTTCACACTCCAGTTCCTGAGCCCTGGGGCGCAGGCCTCAGGGCTCGGCTTTTCCGGAGTCCCCTCCAGTCCCATTCCCAACTCACCACAAGCAAGCAGGACAGGGGCCAGCGTGGCGGAGAGCTCGGCTTCATCCTCGGGCCCTGGGCTCCCCAGCCTAGGGCAGACGGAGGGGGCTCAGCGGGAGGTGACACCAGGCCCGCGCCAGCCCAGCGCTGCGGGGGGTGCGGCCTGCACGGTGCTGCGGGCAGGCGGAGCGCCTGGAGGCTTTGCCTGCACTCACCGCCACCCCCGCGCCCCCCAGGCCTGTGGAGAGGCGGGGGGCCCTGTCTGGGGCCAGCGTCCCCCGGGCAGCACAGCCAGAGCGGGGCAGAAGGGTCTGCCAGGCCCAGGAGGCTTCCTCCCCCTTCTGCAGCAGCCAGGTGCCCGGGGCTTGGGCAGGGGAGCCGGGGAGGAAGGAAGCGGTGACTGCATCCCGGGGGATGGGGGATAAGAGAGCTCGCAACCCCCCTGCCCCGCAGTCTCTCAGGCGCCTGCCCCTCAGGACTGCGAGCATGCCCACTTCTCCTGCTCTCTGCCCTCCCGGTGCTCCTGCTCCAAGGAAGGCCCTGCCTCTCACCCTTCAAAGAGCAATACAAGGCCTCTCTCTCCAGAGGCTTCTCAAGACCACCTTTCCCCAAAGCTGGGTTTGGACCCCCAAGTTCCTGCCTGTACCACCCTGACTCCGTCACAGTCCTGGCCTTGCCATGTCCCGCTGTCCACACCCGGCTGCCTTCTCCACAAAGGACGGGGGCAGACCTGGGAGGTGGCCGCGGTGGCCAGCACTCAGCGTCCCATCCTCCCTTGTCCAGGCACAGGAAATAATAGGAACATGAACAAGCCAGACAGTGTCCCTGTCTTCGGGGGGCTCAGGCCACAAGGCAGACTGGTGGCCAAGAGATCCAGTGTCCCCTGCAACAGGCACTGGTCCAAGGCTGAGCCCTTAGGCTTGGGGCGCAGCCTCCTCTAGAGACAAGTCTCCCGCGTGGGCAGGGCTGGAGCAGCCGAAAGAAGGGTCGGATTAGACAACAAAAGGGACTGTGGCAAAACAAGGGAGTTCCCAATAAGGTATTTCCAGGAGGCCCGGCTTCAGGCTCAGGAGGGCGAAGGACGGCACTGGAGAGCCGCGCCGCTGGCCCAGAGCCCCTGGCAGGTTGAGGGGACCCTGCCTGGAGCCCCAAGCTGTCTGAGGCGAAGCCCCCTGGGACCAGCGCGGCTGGCAGTAGAGCCCAAGTGACACAAGGGCCCCTCGGCCTGTGGGTGGCCTGGGCTTCCCACCTGGAAAAGGAGCCAGAGGAAACTGATCTGCCCTCGCTGGATGGCCTGGCCCAGCACGGACCTCGGCGGGCCAGGTGCTTGAGTTACACACCCCAAGAGGGGGAGGGGCGGCAGTCACACCACGGGACTCTCCAGGTCACTGGCAGTGGCCCTCAGGCCAAGACCAGCTCAGGGGAAAACCTGGGACAGAATGTCAGGCCAGAGCAGAGTGAAGGCTACGCCCTGGCGGTCAGCGCCCAACAGGCGGTGTCCCCCCCGACCCTCCCCAGCCTGCCCCTCCCCTTGTTCCACGCGTCTTCCTTTCCAGTCTCTGCCTCAAAGTGAGCCTTCACCCTGCCCCGGCGGGTCAAGCCCTGTTCCTCATAGGATCTAACCCATAGGCCTGCCCACGAGCCCCAAGTGCCCACGCTGGTCCCAAAGCCGTGCCGGTCCCCAGACCCAGCACCCCTCCACATCACCAGGGTGGTCCTAGAGGGTGGGGGCAGGAGTGAAACGTAAGAGGCACAACAGCCACAGAAGAGATGGCCCCTGTCCCACCCCGGCCCGACGGGCACCTGGCGGGCGACCTGAGCTCACAGGGAGGGCCGTGCAGCTGCTCATCTCCAGACGGACAGGGAGCTGTGATCTTGAGGCTTCCAGGAGCAAAATGAGCGTCCAAAGACCCAGACTCAAAGCCAGCGAGGACCCGCTTAGGCACATTCACAGACACTCACTGCCTAGAGCCCTGCCGCCTTCTAATCAGGTACCTTCTAATTACCCCAAACCCGCACTCACTCCAGTCTGGCCCCCAAGTCTCTGGTTACGGCGGCTCCCGGCCTCCGCAGGCAGCCCAGACTGAGCTCCCAGCGGGCCTGCCCGGTCAGGCAGCCGCCGGCCAGCCCGGCACCCTGCGCGCACGCAGACACACCTGCTGCCCGGGCACCCCCACCCCGCACCCCCTTCCCCACCAGGAATTCACCAACTAAGCCCTGAGCACTGGAACCTCTACCAATAAGCAAGTTCAGACGGAAGCCCCTTGGCTGAGTGGGGGTTTGGGAAGGCTCCATCCCCACCTCTCTGCCTTGTCCTGGAGGTCCAGCAGGCAGTGGCTTCCCAAAGCTCCCTAGAGGGGGCAGGCAGGCAGGCCAAGGCCCTGGGGAGGGCAGGGCCCACAGCCATGGGCCCCCTATCCTGCCCAGTGTTCCTGGCAGAGGAGAGCCCCATGGGGCCGCCGGGGCAGGGAAGGAAGTTAGCTTAGAGGCCGCTCCTCCCTGAACAGAGCCTCCCGGCCTTGGGCCCCACCAACTCCCCGCCCCAGCGCCTACTTCACCTCACTGGGTCTCGGCTTCCTCATCTGCAACATGGGGCTATCATCTCCCAGGGCAAGGCTGTCATGAGGTTTAAACGAGGTAACGAGCCTGAAGTAGGTCGTGGCAGTTCCTCCCCATGCCCCTTCTCTCCTGCTGCACCTCCTGCCCAGGCAGGTAATTAAGTATTTGTTTGCTTGCTTGTTTACTGTTTGCTCCCCCACCAGACAGGACGGGGGCAGGGACGCTGTCTCACTCACCACAAAACCCCCCCCAGCTCACGTCTGGGGCAGGAGGCCTCCACCAAACAGGCTCACAGGAGCAGGGGCTTCCTCACATTCAGCCCACCCCATCCCTCCCCCAAAATACCCAAACAATTAGAACCAGAAATTCCCTGGAAGAAAGCGAGCAAGCAAAGCCCCGACCAGGGCCCGAGCCAGAGGCCGGGGCACCAGGGAGGTGCGGCCTCCAGGGCCACACAGAAAGAGGAACCTGTGCCACCACCTGCCCACAGCTTCCCCTTTCCCAGAACTGCAGCAGGGTCACCGGCCGCGCCCAGCCTCTCAGCAGCCTCCTTGTCAGAGCCACCAAAATCAGAAGGTCTCCCGGCCCCATGCCCTCCCCTTGGCCTCCGGTTCACCCCACCTGCAGCCCTGGAGTCTTGTCTCAGATCTGGCCCTACCCCCACCCCACGCCCGCTACCCGGAGCCCTTTTCAGCCCCCCACGTGCCTCTCTCCCCAGCACACTGGTTGGGAGCTGCTGTTTCTTCTGCCCAGGAGCCCCTCCCATCTCCAGGCCGACGCCTCCTCTTCCTTCAGAGCACTCAGCTCAAAGTCACTTCCTCCTGGAAGCCCCACGACCACCCCCGCTTCCGTAGGTCTGTGTGTGACTGTCCTGTTTACCCAGCCCCTTCCCCACTGACTGCTGCCCTCTGTGCCCCACGCCCAGCCTAGGTCCTGCCCCAGGCATGTGAGGAAGTACTTATTTACCGAACTTAGGGGGTGGGGGGCTGGGATCAGAAAAGGCACTCTCAGGAGAGGGTCCAGCTTCCACCAAGGCTGGGAGGGCCAGAGGACAGGCTGATGGGTAAGAGGCTCAGGGGTTGGGGTGAGGTGGGGGGTTCGAACCTGGATCTGAACCCCTGAGCTAACTTAGGGAGAACCAGCCCGGCCTGCTCTGCTCTTCCCTGGCGCTCTGGCTGAGGGCCCTCCCCCACTATGCAGAGGGCAGGGGAGGGAACGCACATGAAATACTCAGCATAAGACTTGGAACAAAGTTAGCTCTCAATAAGCATTTTCTGTGCCTCGGTTTCTCCATATGTAAATTATATAAGGTATAAATGAAATTTTCTTATATTTATGTATAATGCTTGGCACAGGGTCCAGTACATAGGAAGTGCCCAGTTAGCCATGGTAAGAATTGGGGAGGTAAGAGAGTGTAGGAAGGGAGGGGGGTTTGAGAAAGTGGGTGGGCAACCCCCAGGCCACGCGGAGCCGGAAGCTAGCACTTCCCCCAGCGCCTGCAGGGGCCTGGAAGGGTTAGCAGGGGAGGGGCAGGAATGGAATAACTGCGGCTCAGAGGGCTCCCTGCCAGGTGAAGCTGGAGGTGGGAGGCAGGTGCTCACCTGGGCGGCAGGTGGCTGTCTCCCCGCCAGCAGCTCCAGGGCCTGAGGACCACCCTGCTGCCTCCAGAGGCTAGGGTTGCCTGGAAACAGAGCTGGACACGGTCCCCTCAGCCCCCTCAGCCCCCTCAGCGGTGGCTGCACCCAAGGCCTGAAGACAAAGGCCGCCCATCACTAGAGAAATCCAGGTTAGCGAGGAGCCCGGTGGTTCCCTGGCAACTGGGGCTGAAGTAGGGCAGTGCCCGCAGCAGGCGGCGGCGAGGGCAGCTCGGCATCTCCTCTCCCAGCCTCCTCCCTCACAGGGACGGGGAAACGACCCTCGGTCCCGTGGGCCCGGCGCTCACCCCTCCCTCATGGGAGAGAGAAGCATCCCTTTTTCACACCTGGGTTACTGAGGCTGCGAGGAGGGGGCGGGGGGGTCGCTTGCATGGGTCACCCAGGCCGCAGGCGGTGAAGCAGGGTGGAGCCCAGGCCTGTCGGACTCGGCTTCCCCCGCCCCTGGAGCCTGGCCAGGACCTGACACACAGCACATGTTCTCGGGGCGTCTGCAGACGCTAGGCAGCCAGTGGGTGCATTCGGCTGGGGGCTCTTACACAGCACCCAGCAGGCCCCAGGGACAAAGATGCTGCCCCACCGGGGTCTCTGGGCATCTGGGGTTTCCCTGGTTCTGTGCTCATTCGCACAGCGCCCGAGTCGGGCCAGCGCCAGGGGAAAGGCGCTGTGAGGAGGAAGGAGCCCAGGCAAGGCTGGGAGTTCCCAGGGGAAGAAGAGGGGGGTCCCAGGGTGCAGCTCCCGTTCCCTAGGGTTGCAGACAGGCTGGGGCCCAGAGACCTGCAGAAGCTGCCTTAGGACCATTCAGTGAGAAGGGCATCTAATTCCCACCGCCACCCCAGCCTTGGGTGGCTCTGATGTCCTGACTCACAGACCTGGAG